ATTGTCAGAACACTGTCTGTTGTGCCATTTTTAAAATAAAGAAAAAATCATTTCTGTATGTGCTCAGGTATCTCTTATCTTCTTCCCTAATTATGAGTTTAAAGACTTTCAAATACTTACATATATAATATAAAATTGTTAAACATTAAAGATGCAAATATCAATGAACTACATAAAATAATGGTGTCATAGTGACCAACGGCTAGTTTAAATTAAACCTTCCTGCTGAGTTTGGAGGAGACCTTTCAGATGTAACTATCAGTCATAACTTTCCCTAAGATGCTGTTTTTGCGTAGTATGATGATGCATATGACACATTTTGAGTTTCAAATGTACAGAAACATGCAAATGAAAGCATCCTCCATCCATCCGTTCATTGTCTATATGCGCCTAATCCAAGTCGGGATCACGAGGGGGCGTGGAGCCTTTCCCAGCTGTCACTGGCCAAGTAGTGGGGCCCACAGTGGACAGGTCAGCCGTCAGTCACTGAAGCATCTTCCAAATGAATCGCTTTTCTTAATTAATCTTTAGTTATCTGCTTAAACAACCCCCCCCTCTCTCTGACTGGGTGTTCCACTTATCTTCTCGTGGAAAATAAGTTTGTTCTGTTTGTAGAGGTGAAGATGAGGCTTATTTAATTAGAAAAAAACGTGAATTTATTGTCATTTGAATGTTGTTGTTTTCATTTGAGGAAATCTACGAAGGGTTTTCTACTATTTTGTATCTGTGGAGGTCTCACTAAAAATGTGAGATATTTCATTCTTTGATAATGGCAGCACTGTTCAGGAAAATGGTTAAAGCTTCTCATATCAATCTGGAGGAGGACTGTTGTCAGGGCGGGATAGTTTAGATGTCCCACTGGAAAAATATGTGGTAGTTGATGCAAGATGGGATTGTTTGAATATGTGTTCCAACCTGCCCAGCTTTAATTGATAGCTGTTCATTCCCATCTGGTTCGGGAATCCATCAAAACCAGCGTCTTTGCTATGTGATTTAAAGTTAAGTTATTTTTTGTGTGTCGATATAGCAGATTCTTCAAATACGCTGGCAGGAAATAATAAATGAACTCTGACAGACTTTAACAGACTCGGTGCTCACTGTGATGGATTATAGTGTGAATAACGCACTTGGTAATCTGAAACTTCACCGAATACTTTGAAAACAGCCTTTAGTAACGTAAAGCGTATCTGAATTGCATTAATGGGCTAACACATGTAGAAACTTCCATTGAGTTTGTTTTAAAGTCTGCTTCTAATATGGGTCCACCGGCATTACATGTACAAATTTGCCTGCCACTGCCTCCCATTCCTCCTAAAGCTACATCCTGTCTAAAGGCCTCCAGGGGCCTGGCTGAACCGAACCAGGCTGAATTACACTGGGTTGCTTGCAACATTGATCTGGCTGCAGAAGCCAGGGGAATATAAAACAGTGCAGGGGCTTAAAGTCTTGAGCCCCCCACCTCCCCACCCCCCCCACCCCCCCAAGGGAGGAGTCCTCGCTGCAAAGGGAGAGGTGCATGAACCGAGCTGCTTCTCATTCCTTCCCCTCCTTCCTCCTCCTGGTGCTGTTGTGTCCATCATTCTCCATCTCTCCCCTGCTTGTGACATTCTCTTTAGTCAGTCGGTCTCTTTCTCTCCGACGTTTTCCTCCTAATTTTTTTTCTTTCCCTGCCCCGCATTTTCTCCAACCCCGTGTTGCCTCTTTATATTTGCAAGCGTATGAAAAGTGAATATTGCTCATGAAGTTCACGCCCAAAACGAAACACCAAGGCGGATGCTGAGCGGTGCATTTAATCTGTTTACAAAGGCTTACTCTTTTGAAAAGGCTCCTGCCTGCATTATGAAATCTTTACAGCTGATGTTCCAGTTTTGTTGGGTGAAGCTGACTAGCTAAGAGGAGGCACAAAGCCAGCCAAGCCCACACAGCACGATCCGTCACATGTCAGATCTCCCAAGAACCCCCCCCCCCTCCTCAAGTTTAAAACGTATATATAGGCTATCCCAGCACAATTGCCTCTGAAGGGATTAGTGCGGAGCAGAAATAAAAGTGAAGTTTAGGCCTATTTTTAAGAGCAGAATAGCAAAGTTTGTTGCCTCTTTCCCCGCCGCAGCGTGTTATTCTGCAGGGGCACGGTGCAGAGCCGCACAGCGCCGCTGCAGGATGGCGGTGAAGTGATGGCAGGAGTGTCCGCTGGGGGAACCCAGAGCATTCTGTCTCACTGAGTGATACCCCTGTCTCCGCTCACGATAAACAGCACACACAGAGACACACGCGCACACACACACACACAAACACGCACGCATCAGTGTCTGCCAAGCCCAGCCTAGCAGCAGATTCCTCCCTCACCCTCCCACCTCCGCGCAAAGCTGCAAATATATTAGCTGCTTCTTTTTCTTTTGTCTTGGGGAAAATGGCAAGTGTGGGGGTACGTGTGCGTGTGTGCGTGCGTGTGTGTGTGTGTGTGTTTACCATAGTAAGAAACAGTATGAGAACACCCCCTGTGTGCCAGTTGTCTTGTGATATCCCAGTGGCGTAGAGCCCAGTGATGGGAAGAGAGTTGCAGATGCTCATGAGTTACTAAGTAATACAGGTGTGATGTAGGAAGTAGGAAATAGTAAACGGGCTAAAAGATGAGAGCAGATTTGTTGGTTCAGTGCTACATACTTGCAGTGCATTTCTTCGGTTCAAACAGAAAAGAGTATTGGAGTGTCACCACTGTTGGGATGAGTAAAAAAAGGCTTGATTCACTGGTACAGAAAAAAAAGTACACCTCAGTTATCTACTTAAAAATGAACGTTTTTATTTTATTTTTACAGTTGTGACAAAGAGTTCAAACCAAACAGCATACAAGTTTTCAGTTCACAGAAATATTGAAACATTTTCTTTAGCTCTGACTGTGTATCATTCCTTATAAGAAGAGCTTAATGGACCATTTTGAAATGGTCCATTACAACAGTTAAAGGTGGGATCGTTTTTAGATATATGTGTGCCCACACACTCACAGACATACATATATACATATACGATACGTGTGTGTGTGTGTGTTGTTGGTGGGTGTATTATAATAGGCTAAACCATGCTGGTCTCTATATTTCTGACTGCCACTCCAGCATAGATACCCTATGTGGGCGGGGCCATGACTACTTAGAAATCTGGCAAGTCAAATGTTTTTATTTGCAGGGAAAGCGAGCGTGTGCGCACGTGTGTGTATGTGTGTATGTTTGGGTTTGTGTGCCATATGCAGCGTGCCTGGGAGGGCTCTCTGGAACATATTGGTGTGCGTACATAGTGGTTAATAATAGTAGCAAACGCATACAGCGATGGCAGCTCTGATGTGTGTGACAGTTTTGCAGCCGCAAACGCCAAGACTCAGTCCCACACACACACACACACACGCACGCTCACACGCAAGCACGTGTCGTCTCACAAAACAGAGACCTCCTCTGTCACTGAACTGTGCGTCTTTGTGAAACTCTCAATTTTATCACAGATTGAATCCTGAAAAACTGCCATTTGCCACCTTCCTGCCTGGCTTCCCGCCCCTCCCTCCGGCTCCATATGTGGTTACATGAAAAGACAAAGTATATAGAGTTTGGTCAAACTCAGCCACCCACACAAAAACAACCGTACGACAACTCTTGGACTGAACAAACGAAATCCTTTAAGCAGGGAGGCGCTCACCTACATCATGCATGCAGATGCACAAATGCATACGACACACACACACACACGTATACTGTCATTGCTCAGTGCTTTTGCGGGTTGCTTGTCTGGCAGTGTACTGTTTTGCTTGAGCAGGAGATTTAAGTTTTGATAAGGAGGGGTGGGGTGGCGGGGGTGGGGGTGGGGGGGATCGGTGGCTGCCACCACGGTGAGGTCTTAGCAACAGCACACAGCAGAAGAAGCAGACACCCAAGATGTCGAGCGGACCAGTCCCTGGGGGGGCAGGCGGGGGAGCAAGAGCGGCATCAGTCGCAACTCGCGCGCGTCCAGTCAGAAAAAAATGGACACAAACCTTGGGCCGAGGGCCCAAGCTTGGCAAGCCGACGGAAACAGGAAGAGAGGCGGACAGCAAAGGGAGGCCAGAGCGGAGCAGAGAGCCACCCAGTCCTCGGGATTAGTCTCTGAGCTTGGCAGAGTCTGGCTGGAATTGAGAGAGAGGTAGCAGAAAGACAGACGGCAAAAAAAAAAGACCTGGCGCCTTTTCTGGGCCAGGTTAGTGGCCAGGGAGATGAGGAGACGGAGCGACAGACAGAGCGGGGACCCGGCGCTTGGGTAGCCGTGTGCCTGGTCTGGAGTGGCTCACCCATATGGTGTCCCACTCTGTTCATGCTCCCTGTCTAAATCCATATGCCACTGGTGGAAAGGTGCCCCCCACCACCACCTTGCTTCAAGACCGTCACTATCCCCACGCTCCCCTCAACCCACAAGGGAGGTGTTGGGAGGCAGCCCCAAAGGCTTGTCCCCCTCCTTCTACCTCTTAACCCCACAGAGCTGCTTAGCCCATTGTCACCGCAATCTGCCACCGTAGCCTCGGCGTTGGGTGTTCTCCCCACCCCACCCCACCCCTGCCCTCTTTTTCTCTTTCTTTCTTTCTCTTCCCTCACCCTTTCATCTCCTCTTGGCACCTGATAATCGATGAACTTATTAACTGCTAATTATTCGAGCCGTAGATCGGGGATCCCTCTGTACCTTTAGAAAAAAAAAAGGGGGAGCATTTCCACTCCGTTCTGCCAAATCAAGTGGTCCATAATGCCCACTCATTTGGATTAAGTGCGTTTAGGCTGTGGCGTTTGGGATGTTAAGACTTTGTCAGATTGCTATCAGTAGCATTTAGCATTAATCCCCATTTTGTTCAGCCAGTCTATAGCCTAACCCCCTTCTACCTCTAGGGTAGAAGCCCTAGAGGTTTTCATAATGGAGTACACATACTTATTGGTTTTATCTGTGATGTGTGTTTGTGTGTCTAAAAAGATTTCTTTTTATTTGTTCTGGTTTCCCAGGAGGTTCTCCAGACGATACCAAAGTTCTGCTTTCCCTTTGACGTGGAAAGGTATGATTCATGTCCCCTCACTGCTTCCTTTTTTTTTTTTTTTTTTTAGAAATGCAACTCACTTTCACCTAGTTTGTATAGGACCCCCCAACCCCCACTCCCTCACCCCCACACACACGCATTAACACACACGTTGCACATTAAAAGACACGTGTTTATTAAAAAAATAAAAGCAAATGAGTTATGTATTTTTACGTTTCCCACTATTGTAAGGAGGAACTCTAAATTGTCATCAGTCATTTACATAGTCACATCCCAGGTTACTGACTGTCAAAGCAGAATGATGTGTGTTTGTCCTTGTAATCCTGATGTAATTAGTCAAACTGATATTTTCCATTATGCTGTTTTTTTTAAACTATACAAAAAACAAATGTTCACAGTGTTGGGGATGACATTTCAATGATAATACCACCAACAGGTTTCATTATTACCAAAGCTCATAAGGCTGATGTGTTGCGTGTGGAAACCTTTTTTTATTTTTATTATAGTGGTATTGATGAGGCCAGATTTCTATACATGTTCTGGCTCAGCTCCAATTTACTTGTCTCACTTGAGCATGGAAAATTACATTTTTAAATTCTCATTGTAAAGACAGAGTAGAGAGAGAGAGCGTGGTGGGATGGGAGGCTGCAAAGTGCCAACTGAAGCTGAGCTGCTGCCATCTAGTGGTAGAAAAGTGCACTGACGTATGCAGGACTGTCACAAGAAGGAAAAGATTTCCACAGATTTTGTAACTCTCAAACACAACACATAGAATATCGATTTCGAACCATGAATGGCGATTTAGTTTATGATAAGATTCTGCTTCAGAGGGAAGTCAAATTTTTTTGCATTCAGCTCAACCAAACTGTACTATTCTGATCTGGTTTAATTAATTTGAATAATTCCACAGATTTAATTAATCATACTTTAGACTCTGATAAGCCGTTAGGTATTTGTTTAGTTTCTGCTGCCTTTTTTTCCTCATGTCCTTACCAGGATTTCCCAGAGCCAGGTGGGGCAGAATTTCACCTTTGTGCTCACAGACATCGACAGTAAACAGAGGTTTGGTTTCTGTCGACTCACCCAAGGCTGCCGGGTCTGCATATGTCTCCTCAGGTAACACACACAACAACTATTTCTCCTTTTGCTGTACTTTTTATGGGAAATTTCACCTCAAAGGTTACCTTTTTTTCATCATCAGGGGTTGTCAACCTTTATAAAATGTCTTTAACACTGAGCCACATTTTGTCATTTTGAAAAGAGTTATTGTATATAGATCCCACAGATTGGAATTATAATTAACAAATGTCATCCTCGGTAGGGCTATTATGCAAAAAGATATTTTTAAAAAATTACACGTTTTATGTACAAACCTGGTGAAAGTGGGGATAATGTGGGCTCGCTATGTTTTCACAAAAAACTGCAGTAGTGTTCACACACCAAAGTACCTCTTTCATTTATCATATCAGATAACCAAGAGCTAGCCTGTACTAACATTTGTTGAATTATTCACACACATATGATATATACATGTGTATATACATACATGATGTTTGTATATGATGTTTATTTATATATATAGAAGAGAGAGAGAGAATTTAGTGTATAAATTATTCATCAAAATGTTTGAGTGGGCACATATATTTGCCCTATGGAAAAATACCTCCTTTGTATTTTTATTTGCCTTCACAAATATGTCAGTTAGGGGCCTACAATTATCCAAAAGTTTAACAGTTATTGATATTTCATTCAAATGTGTATTTCTCTTTTCACTGTAGATAAATGAGGACACCCAATGTAGAATGAGTCTCCTTTCTTCACATAATTATTCTCCAACAGAACTATTATCAGTTAATTCCCATGTAATTGCCCGTAGATGCAATATTTTTACAGATGTAATTACTTTACCATTACAAAGAATGAGAGCTCCAGTGAAAGTCTCAGCGGACGGGCTCGTGCACTTTAATATAAACTGAGGAAAAAGAACGAAATAAATCAATTTTTAATGAATGTGATTAGCAGTTTAACAAACAACAAATTGGAAAAGGAGCACAAAGGCTTTCCCTGTTTTCTGTTTGTGAGGAAGCGCTCCTGTAGGGGCTGATTTCTCCTCTGCGTGCATGTGTGTGTGTGTGTGTGTTTGTGCGTGTGTGTTGGCTGGTGATGGACAGTCGTGGGTTTGTCGCTGCCCTGATGAGCTGCTGTGAAGAACAGTGCCCCCCCCACACACACACACTTACACACACACACACACTCGCATACATATACCACCCACCCTTCCCGGCCAGCTCCCTGGCCTTTGTTTTTCTTTTCTCTCCCTCTCCGACTCATGCTCTCTGTCTCTCCCTCCGTCTCTTCCTCTCTTCTCTCCTCGTTATTCGGCTACTGCCACAGTGCGACAGCAAAGACGCTTGGCCCATAATTATGCATGAAGCTTCACTGCCAATTAGCAGAGGCTCCCCTGTCCCTCTCGCTGAGTTAGACATGCTAATTCATTTGACATATGATGTATAAAATTCATTATGCATTCTGAGTAGTTTGCATGACTTGCTTCATTCATAATGAAAAAAAAGGTACAGGAAAGTATTTATTTTTGTTCATTTCAAATTGTTATTTTGCTTTATAGTTATAATTTCTTCTCCTGATCTTTTTCTTGTTTTCTAAATTTTTTTTCATTTCATGATTTGTCGAAGAGCCCCACTACATTCAGAAACAATAACAGAAATAATTCAAAAGCAGAAAAAAAATCTTTTTGGGATATTTCGGTTAATTAAGTAATTTGAGATTTATTTCAATGAATTCTCTTCCTTTGAGATGGTTGACCAATAGTTGATTATCTTTGTTTAGTGTCTCGAAAGCTGTTCTTAGTTATACGAGATGACATTAAAGACACAACAACAGATGTGTTCAAATTTGAGACCGCAGGAACGCTGGCAAAATTTTTAAAGTTACACATCTTAAACAAGTCATCATCGCTTAACGTGTGTCTAGTTAAAGTATAGAGGGTGATGGCCCGGGCTCCCTCGTTTGCATTCATGTGATGATAAAAAATAATTTAGCAAAAGTATTTAAAATAGTTTGTGTCTGTGATTGTTGAAGTGCTGGGACTGTAAAATTGTCACCTTTGCTTACAGGAGGAAGTGGCTTAATGAGTGGGACAGTTTTATGTGGACAGCCCTTTGTAGTCCCATTGCTGAAGTCATGGCCATAAGTATCACATTCACTGCAGGCGCAACCGCCAAAAGAAAAAAACACACACACACACACGCAAATGCCTTTTACAGTGTTGTATCCTTACTTCTTCTCATTCCTCCTCCCATTTAAAATATTTCCTCTTTATACTGCAATTTGGAGGTGAAAAAATCAGTTTTTTTAAACAGTTTTAAGGCTTAAGGATACATTTCAAGGGGCAGCATTGCTCTGGTTAGTGGTCACTTATTCGGGCACTGGAAGACACTTCCTCCCTCGTACTTAACCTTTGACCCGAGAAAGTAAACGTGAAATGCAATCTTCCACTAAGCCATCTACAAAGTGTACGCTGACATTCAGATGACATTGCTGATGTCTGTGCTTAAAAAAGATTTAAGACTCATCGGAGGAACAGGAATAACCATTGTGCTTAACACCCAACAAGTACTTTATGGTGGCTAAACGGGACATTTTGTTAACGGTTGGTTTTTATTTTACGCCAGTTTGGGTATTTCCAGTGCTCCACAAAACAAGTTTAGGAAAGCTTATTTCAACAACGTTACATTTGTGTGTTCTTCCGTCATTAATAGAATAATCGTGAGTTCCAAGGTGACTTTTCCGAGTCTGTTGAATACATTCATGCTGTTTGCTGGTCTGAGGCCGGGACGGGGAGCACGACAGGCTGCGAGTGGGTCGCAGATTAACTAGTTCATTTTTTTCCCTCCGAGTACATGGCACTTTGAGGAGACGCGTGTTTAAAACGCCAGCAGAGATTGTGGGGGCCCCCGCACACTGAGCACTCCCGTGATGGATGCCTCTCTCTCTATCGGAGGATTTGCCACGCACAAACAGATCTGAGCAATGAACCGTGACGAGTAGGAGTATGTCTCTAAGCTTTCCAAACTTTAACTTTGTGTGTACAGAGAGCAGAGCTCAGCAGGGGAGGGGAGACAAAGGAACACAACAATGCGTCTTGCAGATTTATTCATTTGATTGCATTTGAATACAGAAAGGAGCACCTATCGTAGCATTGTGTTCAAGGAATATTGATAATTTGTGGTTAGTTGCCTTCGCCGTTAAGCATGTGTGTTCCTCTAAAAACAGGGCTTTCCAGCAGCTCGGTGCAGGAGCTTAATGACTGTGAGGCTTGACTGCTGCTCCGACAGCGAGAGTCTTATTTACATCCCCCTTAACAGCGAAAAATGGAGGATTAATTTCCACAAAGCTTACTTTTTGAAGGCACAGAGGATTCAGATTATAAACAAGCCTCATTCTCCCTTAATCATCGTATAAGACTGAACTTTTTGTGCAAGCGCCTCAATGTAAACTGACCCAGAATGCAGATATACGTGTGGGATGTTGTTTGACGTGGCAGAAATAGGTCTTCAGGTCGACATCCGGTCAGCATGTAAATTAACATAAGCGCGTTTGATTTAGTCTCCCCTGCAAGTGTGACCTGATTGCGGTAAATCTTCATGCAGATGTCAAAATATCGGCATGCTAAGAGGCTGATTGTTTCAGACTAATGGTCACTCAGCTTCTCTGATTGGTTCGCTTCACTGCACATCTCTGGGAACCCGATCTGTCATTGGCTCCTTCCGGATCTAGCAATATGAAAATTTGCATTGGGTTCACTTTATTGTTTTTTTTTTTTTGGTTGTCTGTTAATTCCAGTCTGCAGAGCAGCCAGTGACCCATGCCCTGCAAACTCCTGTGTTTTCAGCCTGCTGCCTGAGCTGGACTGTTAAGTCTCTCGATCAAACCTTCACGCTTGAATTTATTGTCACGTAACCAAAGAAAAAAAACCCGGACAGTGCGATTTTCTTCATCATTTACATTCATTATTGTTCACTCACTGACATGAAGAAGCACTCAATTTCGTAATCAGTAAAAAAAAAACACTTGATCGGCTGCCTCATTTGGCCACTAATTTATTTTCTGACCCTTGCATTCAGGCAAGTTAATGAAGCATTAATGGTATTCCCTGTTTATTTAATTGCAATGCTAAGAAGTCCTTATCCAGAATCATTACACGTGCAGTGTTCATAACTGCATGTTAAAACCCCAAACTAAATAAAAATTCAATAACATGATAGGATACCATGTTTTTTTATTATTTGATTGCATAACATTAAATGAACTGGGCCCTCACAGCTTTAATGCCAAAGGAAAATGTTGGCCATCTTCCACCTAGAAAACAAGCCGACTTGGCCAAGAAAATGTCAGCTATGTAAAGAAAGCCATGCTGCAGATGCTTTTAGCTTATGGTGGGTGTGCTTACCGATTAGCTTTAACACAAACACTGCAGTGTGAGTTATTTTAAGCTTGTTAATTAGTTTATTTATTTTACATTAATTACATAAGGCTTCTTTTTTTAAATTTGAATATGTGAAGGGCATGAGAATCACAAGAGAAAGGGGCCGAAGGAGGGGTGAAGGAAAGGGGGGGAAGCTGCATTTTTGTTAAGCCTGTGCATCTGGGAGCAGCATGCTTGTAAACTATAGCATCCCTGTGCATCACATGAAAGCAATGGCGTGTGTGTGTGTTTATTAAGGAGTCTGAGATCTATTGTTTTCTTTATTCTACCGTCCTTTACTGTTGGCTTAAAGAGCAGACATGACAGGAATTCTTAGCATGCAAAGATCCCAGGATACGAAAGAATGTCATAATAAGGGCAAGATAGCTTTTGCTTTTTCTCAGTGTAACAATGACTCGGTGCTTCGGAGTAGGTGTAGCAGGAAACAGAATCCATTATTGATGCCCTGTATGTATTTGATCTTTAAGTAATAGGTCAAAATATATTTCTAGACATTTTGTGGCACAGATCCAAACACATTCGTATCTCTGCTTTTGTATTTCAAATAAATAGCCCAAAGGTCTGCTTTGATTCGTTTCATCCTGTTTATTCGAGAGGATGATGAAATGAATGAGGGCTTCTCCGTGTGTGGTGGATTAATACATTTTTCTCTTACTGTTACAGCTATCTTCCATGGTTTGAAATCTACTACAAGCTGCTTAATACCCTGGCAGACTACCTAACTAAACAACAGGTAATCCTATGCTCTGAATGTATGATCTTTTCTGGATGGTGTGACTCAGAAACAAGCGCACAATTTATTGCTTTTAAATCTGTGTTGTGGTGGGAGATTTTCCTCCGCTGCGTTCCGCCGCATGTTGTCTTTTGTGCGCGGGTTTTGTTCACTGTTCTGGGTCTGACTTGGTTCCTCTTGTTAGCAGCAACGATGTTGACATTTCACAGACCAAACGCTGATCTGACACTGGAAGTTATTCCCGATGATTTACTGGAAAACAAATCGTTAGGAAAAGCACACACACACTCACACTCACACACACACACACACACGTACACACAAATGTTTGCACCTCACAAAAGTCTTCTCCCCTGACTATTCACTGCATTGTACTAGCAAAAGGGAGGGGAAATGTAAAATATGCAACAAACAGGGGAGATGTGCAGCATATAGTGGATTGGTTGAAGGTGATGTTCCCCTGTTTAGACTGAAGATAGGAGAAGAGACGGGGGGGAGGGGGGCACCCAGCTCTGGGACCACTTTTCAATTGTCACGTAGTCACCTCGTCTCCCAGGATCCTCAGGGAACCGTGATCAGGACCAAGTGTCTTGTGAAAATCACAGTCACATCAGATAAACAATCAGCATACACGCGGACGATTCTTTAGCTGAGAGGGAGTTCAGCGGAGAAATCTAACGCGGGATAAAAAAAAAACGAACCGAATGGGACAGTTTGTGAGTGAGGAGCAGTTGCAGAAAGACTGCCGAAAAATCCCGGGCCACTGAAATGCGAGTGTGCATGATTTGGTTTCTATTTACCCCGCTGTCCGTTCCAGGCGAGAGGGAGATGTTGACAGACGAGGGAAGACAGAAGAGCGATGAGGGTTTAAGGCGAGGGGTAAATGAACTGTTTCCCCAGGCCGTGTTGCTGACCATGCGTGTGAGCATTGAGCCTCTCATGACAGGAGGCTGTTCGATTGCACACACCCCTCCCTCCCTCTCTTCCTCTCTTTAGTGTATAGTGCCGCCTATTGCTTCTATTTCCCTGTGGCTGACACACACACACACACACACACACACACACACACACACACACACACAGTCATTTATTTCCTCAGAGAAGCATCAGCGTGTAGCCAAAACCAAAACAAAGTTCTTGGAGAGGGCGTCGGAGAAAGAAGCTAAAGCAGTAACATCCAACCCGGGTGTTCGCGTTAGCTATGCGGACTGGAAGTTATCCGGTCTGCGTTGCCCCTCTCGGATGTCTTCCGAAAGGCATTTCGCAAGAAATGAAAGGTGTGAAATAGGAGCCATGTTGAAGAACTCATAAATGCTGGAAGAATAATCTTAAGGCCTGTTCTGTGGTCAGACCAGCTCTCTGACGGCTTTCAAAAAGCCCTTTCTTTGGAGTGGGGACCCCTGGTTAATTAATGACAGGCCGCTCTCGGCCGTAAATCAGCGCGGCAGGATAATAAGCATCTGCTGCTCCACACTCAGCCGTCTTTTAACCCCACTATTTCTCGTTAAACACATGTCAGTCGGATGTTGTTGAGCCCTTCAGGCCTCGCTGCAGGATGGCCCTCTGGTCTGCAGAAGCGCGCGTCCCAGCACTGTTGTCCGGTTGACACATAACTTTTGACAACAGCAAAACACGTCAATGAAATGAAGGTGTTTTTTCTTTTGTCGTCTGTTTGTTTTTCCTTTTTAACTTTTTTTTTTTTTTTGGAAAATGACTTGAACGACATGCTGAATTCGCTCTACGACCTGCCTGTGCCAAAGCCCTACACGCCAGTCAACCTGAGTGTGGTACGTATACATTTCATATCCCCTTTATTGGAAGGCAAGGCAGCTTGGAGAAAGTAGGGAAAGTGAAAAGGGACTGGTGCCGCATCAGAGGATGTGGCAACAGCTGATTGAAGCAGTTAAAAGTAGAAGTAGAGAGAGCAAAGACATAGTATGAAATAGAAAAAGGGGGGACAAATAGGGGGGCACGATAACAAATTGAATGACAAGACAAAAGTGGCCGGAAAAAAGGGGAGAAAATAGGGCAGACAGGCAGGAATCGGGAGAGGCTGGCAGAGTGCAGAGTTTAGGAAGGGGAGAATAAATGAGGGAACAGCAGAGGAAATGCTGAGTCCAGAGCAGGACGAAGGTTAGATGCACGGGGGAAAAAAACTGAAAGACTCACAGGGCCCAGGACTGACACCGTGTTTGGAAACAAGAAGTAGCAGTAACAGGTTTTCGTGCGATAAGCTTAAGCTGGACTTGTTCAAACTTGAAGGGTCCTTTCAAAACCCGTCACGTCTCCGGCTTATCAAAACCCCTCGAAATAGCTTAATGAGCCCAGGTCCCTCAAAGTCAGCTTGTGTTTGAGTTAACTCTGACACAATCTGCTCTTGAGCGCTTCCAGCTCAGACATAAAACACTGTCACTTCCCTAAACCTGGCCTATTTGAGTAGGACGTAAAGGTTTTCAGCGAGTCTCCTAAGCTCACAATCTCAGTTTTTAAGCTCGTAAGACTCCACATCGTAGTGGGATCAAAAGAGTTTCACTGTTAGCCTTTGTCCTTGAGGACCACCACTCCTTTTTTTGGACCAATTAAACAAGCAGCTCTCTGTCTACTCTGTTCGAAAGGTCTCAGAAGGATACGCGTCTAATTACACAGACGAATTTACAGAAAACAAGATAAGATAAATCTGAGGTCATCGATGTATTCCTATGTAGGTTAACGAGGTAAATTAGGATTCTTTGTGATTTATTTTTCTTTGTGCCAGATTTTTGTACCATCTGTGTACTGTATGTGAGTAAACACTTTTTTATTCCAATGTCGGAGCTTCATTGAAAAAGCAGCCCCAGAGAACAGAGGTGATAGCTCCATCTCTTTTCTAGAGAAGCCACGTGTTTGATATTTAATTGATGAAGCAGAATTATTCCCTTAAAGTGTGTGTGTGTTTTTTTTTTCTGTTTTATCGTGGCAACCAAGAAGAATCATTGTCCCCTTTTATGTGTGAACTCTGTTTTGCTCTCTCTCTGTCTTATTGTGCAAGAATGAGCAGTTGTATATTGCCACTGGGCAAGTACTGAGAGATCGGCGAAGCAAGGAGCCGGTGAGTGTGGAGGGGAATGAGTGAACGGCAGTGAAGGGTGGAGGGAAGGAGGCTGCTGTGAAACATGAAACTGCTTCTACACTAATCGCATGGGAGCCACGGATTTCCAATTTGGCCAAATAAGCTGCACTAACTTTTAAAATATAACAAAAACAAACTATCCTGGGCCTTGGTGTGCGTTTCTTCTCCTCTGGAAAACAATCAAACTTTGTAAATGATTAATGCCCTTCCACTCTGCTATATTCTCTATATTCTATGAATATCAAAAGTTTTTTTCCTCCTCTTTATGTTTAAAGCAAAGGCAATTGTGCTCAAAAAATCTCCTTGATGCCTTTCCAGTTAACCCACTTTCCATGTTTTTGAATAAACAAGTCTTCGAAAGAACAAGAAAAAAGGCAGATAAGCAAGCAAACAGCTAATGAAAGACTGGGTTGCATTGAGGAGCGTGGCGTGTGATTATTACAATGCCGCGATTTTGTGGACCAACAGGGGAGCATTTCTTAGCGCACAAAGCACAAAAAAAACAGGAATGCACTTGACTGCGATTGTTTTATTTGTTTTTTTGGGGGGGTTGGTTCGGTCTTGGTCTCAGAGGTATGGCCCAAGTCTCTGCTCTTTTAGAAAACAGTTTGTTTAGGTATCCACTGAATGTTTAATTGAAATTACGGTAAAGCTAATCTTTTTTTGTGTTTACTCTGAGTAAGTTTTCCACCCCACATACAGAATAGTTCATCAAAGATTACTCAGAGCAAAGATTTACATGTAAGGTGAAAACAGCTCATCCTAATGCTGGCAGTTTGGTTTTACTATAAATATTTAGTCACAGAAAAGGAGGTTTCTGTGAAAGGCCTGATTAGAAGAACTCATTAAGACTGGATGGTGAAAGTTTTTGAAGATTTCCTTCTGGATTGTTAACAGTGTTTGTGCACTTCTACATCTTTGCATGTACTCTGCATGTATAGTTCTACATTTTTTAAAGCTGAACTTGTGCAGCTTGCAGTACTGTCACTGCGTGTCAGAAACGCTGTCATCATAAAACAAACAATAGTTTTTCTGTAAACAAACAAGCATAGTGCAAGTCTCCACCAAATGCAAAATGTAGAAACTTTCATTCAAATAAGTTTAAAGAGTCTTTCCTTGCTTTACTTTCTAGGCAGAAAACCTGAATGTTTTATTCTATGACTTGCAAAAGCAACCAGTGGATAACAGACTTTCTATTTCCTTTTAAAGTACTTGAATAAAGACATTATATTCCAAAAGAATAGGAAGTTATATTCTAAACCTGTTGTTTATTGAGCGACGGAAAAAGAATAGCAAGTCAATTGTAACTCGTAATTTCAATTTATTTCAGCTTTCCGGCTCTGTAGATAAAGTCAAATAAACTGGGAATAATTAACAGCCATGTGAAAAAAAAAAAACTTCTTGGTATATCCACTATCTATTGTGATATTGGTTGTCTAAGTTATACATTAAAATATGACTATAGAAAACTAAACCACTAATGCACTAACTTCCCTTAAATAAGTATGCGTAGGAGTTGGCAAATTACATTTACGAGTGTCTTTTACTGGATGAAAACGAAACTCTGGGGCAAAGCCCTGAATCTTGGTTCCAGCTACATGTTTGTTTGTGCCTCTTTGTCTCCAGTTAGATTTGCTTTGCTACAACAAATGACCACCCTTTGGGAATGGAAGTGTTTATTCATGATAATTGCTCTCCTGTTTTAAACACTGAGCAAACATGCATTTATATTTTCATTCATTTGTTGGCCTTTTACTAGTTCAGTCATTATCATATGATGATAATTAACATCTGCATTTTTGTTTTACTCCTGGTGCTGTTTGGCAGCTGAAAATCTTATCCAACTACTTAGATATTCTATTTTTTAAAGTCACAGGTTGTGATACAATATGGAACAATATCCCTTTTCATACAAAATGACTAATCAGAAAGCAATATCAAGTCCTCCTGTACAAAGTTAGTTCCTAATAGCACCAGATTAACAACACTTAGCATGTGTTTGATTTCTTGTCATATTTTCTCTGCATGTTGTGGCAATCTATCTGGGGTTTTTGTGTGGGGTCTTTTTGCCTTTTTTTATTGGGGGTATTCATATTTTCTTATGTTGATGCCTTGGCTGGGATGCTGATTTGTTCACACTGAATCATGTTGTACAATGCAATGTTCTTTATATTCATTCATTTTGCTTTTCAGTGTTCCTTTGTTCAGTATTTAATCCTTTAAAATTCACAAAGTGCAGTTTGTCTCCTAATCAATCTGAAAACTCTCAAGGGTGAAATGTAATTCAACAAAATTCTAGAATATGGAAGAAAACAGCTTATGTATTAGCTTAAAATTATATCTAACATGATGTTAAGTTAATTTAACTGGATTTACTCAATGATTTGAATGTTAGTCACAGTGCTGAGCTCTTAGATGTTTTGTTTGGCTTAATGTCTCTCCAGTGATAGAGAACCTTATTGTGAACAACGCTGTGGATCTTAACTCAAACTTCAACAGATGGTTGAGTAAAGGCCTAGATGAACACAGACGTACCTAGGATGTGTGAGTGTGTGCATTGGAGACACAACAGTGTGTTTCTCCTGGTGGTTTGTCTACCTCCAAACAGCACCTCTCTCAGGCCCCTTTGATCTGAACACTGAACCTGCCCTGCTCTCCCAAAGTGAGACAGGCAGCCCTGTGATCCTCTAAACAACCTGTGTGTCTGTGTGTTTGAGTGCACGTCTGTGTGGATGTGCACGCGCGCACATCTACTTTAGCGTGTGTGCGCGCGCGTGTGTGTGTGTGTGTGTGTGTGTGAGACAGTGCTCCGCAAACCTTTTTAATGCTTAAATAAAGACTCAGTTTTTTCCACCGGAGACATCACCCCAGTGTGTGTCTATGGGGAGCTGAGCTGCTATTGAGCTCTCTCTGTTCTGTAGGCCTGATAAAAGCATTGCCACAGTTCAGACACCAGCTCAGCAATTCATATAGACAGAAGCTGAAGATGAGCCATAAATCATGGAACAAAGTGAACGGCCTCTTTCTCCCCTCTTCCCCTCATTCTCTTCTGCGTGAGTGGTATGCTTCACTTGTGACCTTCCCTCTTCTTTCTCCTCCATGTTTGTGTTTTTGCAGCACTCCTACTTCATCGCCCCGGATATCAATGGACTGCCAACTATCCCTGAGAGTGTAAGTGTTCGCGGAGAAGAAAAGAAAAAGACACTGAAGGAGATAAAGAAAAATCCCTCCCTTATGGAAACATCTCTGACTCTAATCGTATTTAATCTAATACACATGTCACCGTTTGAAATTATTGCATCATCTTCTTGTTTCAGCTTTATCTCCTGCAGTGCTTTGCTTTTAATGTTGAAGTATAATGATTGGCATAAAAGATTAAAACTGAGATCATGTTCTTTGTAGGTTTTTGTTTTCAAATTTGAGCTCTAATCACAATGGCAAGGGACAGTAGACGACAACAATTATCAGTTTGACTGAAATGTGATTTATTTCTTCATCTTGACTATGAAGGAGATCAAAGGTATGACTGTAGGTGGAAATTATACTGCTTATCCATTGATTTTCTTTTAAGGCAGACTAATCTCAGTCGAGCTGGAGGTCTTTTTCTACCAGTACTTTATGTCTCTCTTTGGCAGACAGCGGCTCTCTCTTAATCTGCAATGTTGACACTTTTCTGTAAGCAAGCTGTGCTTGGACAGTTTGTTATATACCTGAGTATCCCTCTGTTCCTGTCTATTTCCAGCGGAACCTGACAGAGTACTTTGTGGCTGTGGACATCAACAACATGCTCCAACTCTACGCCAGCATGCTGCACGAACGGCGCATCATCATTACCTCAAGCAAGCTTAGCACTGTGAGTCCGTTTCCCTCCAACTCTTTCTCTCAGCAAACAGACAGTTATGGCGGCCTGCCATACACAGGCTTAAAATACGAACCACAGCTCAAATGCTGCACACACTGGAAATAGATACACATCAAGACATTTGTGTGTCTGTGCTGCCATACAGGTTTGAAAGATCTCCTATCAGGCACAGGTTTACAGGTTTATCAATGTATTTTTAGGTGTGCAGAGACATGCATCTCACCTGCTGTTTGAAACTCTGTTTTGGCTCCCCATTTATTTAAAAAACTCTCCTCCAAGAAAGCCCAGCCTATGGATTTTTTTTTTTTTTTTTTTTTTGTCATGCATGCTCCATGTTCAATGATTTGCCAAACGTTTAGGAGCAAAGAGCTCAAAGGTTGCTCTAAAAGTGTTGTCTTTGCTGTGGGGACTGAGTAGAACCCTTTTGTGTAGACTTGGATGTTTTTTAGTACTGATGTGTATGAGGAGCTGTACTATAACAGTTGGGATGGGGGGGGATAAAAGAGGGGAAACTCTCAAATAAAATAAATCAGCCTGAATAAACATTTGGTTTGGGTTGGGGTTAAGATTTTAGTCGTAAAAGGTTCATGTGTTACATAATAGAGGATTTTTTTCAGGGTAATAACCTTCAACATCATATCTAACCTACCCACAAAGTACAGTTAAATCATTGTATGATTGAACATGTTTGGCATAATAAATGTGAAAATGATAACTCACTCGCACGGCAGTCAACTTAGTTATATTTTGGCTTTAAATTAAGTTCAGACTAGGAATTAACCAGCCAAAACTGTATATCACTTCTGTATAGAACTGTTTAATAGATTGAACATGAATCCCTTCATCAATATTTCATTGGGTTATCAAACCCTAAACAGCATGATGAGAATATTTATCTGACACAGCGAGGGTAGTTTTAGAGAGAGTTGAAATGTCCCTCCCGCCAGCGCCCAATATGACGAGCTGTGAAATTTCCTCCACAGCTGAATTGTATGGGACTGTTTGTCCCATATAAAGCCAGCATATTCATCTCCAAAAAGCCTTAAATTATCTGTTATTACATGTCTTAACTCTCGCACATAATTCAAATTCACTTTTGTCTGTCTGTGTTTATGAGGGAGGAACTCTCTGTGTGTCTTTCTCCCCCTCTTTCTCCCTTTCCCAATCCATCCCCTCCTCTGTTATCTTCATAGCTGATGAGGCAGAGCCAAGTGTTTATGACAGATGCAAAGGGAGAGGGAAGTGATGTCATTCAAGTTCTATCTGTATCTGCAGTCTAGCCACTCCTGCCATCCGATCAGGCAAGTCTGCAGAAGACTTAACAGGAATAGTACTGTACTGGTGGTGGGTGCTTGGGGGAACAGTTTCCAAGGTCTCCCGTAGGAGCAATAATCAAGAGGAGCTGTAAAGATTACCCATCCCCTCAGAGACTTTCACCTGTCTCCCCTCAGCTTCTCAGACCAGCAGCACCTCTGCTGAGGGCTCAGGCAGCACACTGAGCTGTGACACAAGCGGTACATGATGTAAATTATCAGGCTCAGGGGTGAGAGTGTTTTTCTTTTTAGCAGGAACAGGAGTGGAGGTGATTTGCCTGTGATTTACAGTGCTCCGCAGCTTAAAGACGAAATCTCGGCTTGTTTTTATAACAAATACACGCCGACAGGATATTTTAAGAGCCTCATCTTCAGACCTTTATTTCTGTAAGCCTTTCATCCTCCGCATTTCTTCATCCGGTCGTCTATCTATCCATCTTCCTCAGGGAGAGGTGTTTCGGTTTGGTTGCGATATATGTCAGGCGCTGTAGTACAAAGGTATTTTAACGTCCCCACTGGGATTACCTGCAGGCTAGTGTTATTACCGTTCCTGTGATGCATTCGTTTTCTTTCCGCTGGGGTAGATTGACCTTCGAGTTCAAGCGAAAATGGCTCCCATGCTTCTTTAAACTTAGTTAGTGTGTACATACTTAACTGAAAAACATCTCCGCTCATAATCAAAACCGTTGTCATGTGATCAAACGCCTTAAAGCATGAGAGATGTCTCACTGAAGTCAAAGTTTGTCTCGGCGTTTTTTTTTTTTTTTACAGTGACTGCTACCTGTCACTTGATGGACTGGTATCACTTCTATAGCCCGCTACCCACAGATAGAAGATGTATGGGAGGCTGTATTGTTAGTAACATCGTTAGTACTATCCAGCTGCTTTTCACTACCTCCACCACAGCCAAATGGAGAGGAACAGAAACGGGGAGCAGAACGATGAAGCTGAGAAAGACACACACAAATGCTCTCCTTGTGTGTGTGTCTATATATATATATATATATATATATATATGTATGTATGTATGTATGTACAGGATATATAATATGTGTGCAGCATTTATCCTGCCTGCTCCAGGTGCTGGCTGTGTTAAAGCCCCCCGTGAACCCAGCGTGTCAGTCTGTCAGTACATGGCAGCCACGTCTTGCAAGCAGTCAAAAGCAAAGGAATAAATCATGATCTTACAACAATGCAGCAGTTGACTTATTACTGTTTCGTGACTGGAGGTGCATGGGAACAGTGTTTTTAAAAATGCTGGTCGGCTGTGGCGCAGGGGCGGAAGTCAGCCGTGCGTGGAGCCTTGTCATAGGCCCGTATAATGGGGTTGCATTGGCCCTTCCTCTAACTAGTCAGTTGGGAGGACCCCCGCCACCCCCTCGTGTCCTTCATCTGTTGAGGCCCCCCAGCTCTCCAGCCCTGCCTCAGCCCTGCCTATTGCCCGTGCTCGCACAGCCCGGCCGCAGCACCGACTGACAGCAGCCCTCTCATCAGGCTGTCAGGCCTATGCTAACAAGGGCTATACATCCACCATGCCCCAGAGTGCCAGCTGTCTCTCTGTTTCCAGCCTTTTCCTCTGTTGTTCCTCTCCTCTCTTTCCCTGACTTCTCTCGTCTCTCTCTTAGTAATTCCTTTTCAGTGACATATTATTTTCTGTCCATCTGTCTCTCACTCACTCCTCGGCCCGACTGACTCTGCTTCTTCTTGGGAGTCCTAATGTGTTTCCCTGTTGTTAGGCAACTGCCGAACATCAGGACGTCCTCCCCCTCCATCCCCTCTCTTAATCCCTTCTCCTTATTGTCCTCGATAAACTTATTTCTGCCCAGTTCCGTGGATGTGCAGAAGTGTATAGCGTGTGCATGCGGTGGGCGGTTGTGTGAGTTTTTCTGCACAGGTGTTTGTACCTTATGCCTTCTGTCTCCATGACGAGAGTCAGCATTGTGTGTGCCTGTGTGGGAGGCCGAGTGTTAGCCGTTGCCTGCATTGTCCTGCGTGCCCTTTCTTTCTCTTCCTAAGCCACCTACCTGTTTGTGGCACAGTTTCCGTGTACCAGGCCTGACACCCGCGTTTGTCAACACAGGGAAAAGCAGAGCGTGGGTAATTGCTAACTTTTTCAGCACATGGGACAAGAGACAGAAAGGCCAAAACAGCAATGAAGTAACAGGATAAATGCGGTGGTGTGGGGTGGTATCAACCCAAAGGACAGCAGGAGGGGAATGGAGGGAAAATGGAATAAGTAATTAAAAACTGTGATGAAAATGAAGCAGGGAAATGGAAAGAAAGGACTAAGTTTGGAAAGAAAGACCTAGTGGAGGGGAAATTGAGTGTTTAAGGCTGGTGTCAGAAACAAATTGCATTACATGTTCCGCACGAGCAACTATGTTTTTTGCATAATGTTGTCTGTACGGTAGAGCATAAGCAAAAGGATTCGTTCCATCAAAAAGAAATACACTTTTTGGATTTATTGAAAAAAATCCAAAGTGCATTTTAGTCTAAAGAAATGCTAAAATGTCAATCTGTGGGTCTTTTTAAAGATGCAAACGGCCAGAATGTGGCGTGGAAATTTCTGTTGTTAGCTTCAGTGTGTCCAGCTGCTCAGGTAAAGAGTAATAATGTGGGTGGAAGCACTGGCTAAATCTATAGGGCTCAGATTGGCAGCAGCTGTAGAGAACCCCGACGGTTCCAGGTTTTTTTCAACCAAGCACAGATCCTTAAGAGCTTTTGGTACAAGTTCATGTGAGTATGGTGACGTCTGGATGTAGAGGTTCATGAAGCACAAGCTGTTGGAAAAGTTCATGGCTTGAAAACGTACATTTATAGCTATCTTTTGTTAATTGTTTGGAATTGAAATCGTGTCAACCGTCTCCCTTTTGTTGAAAATCAGAAAATGTTTAAGTCACTCTGAGGCTTCTAACTTTTTTTGTAGGTGGTCATTATATAGATTGTCAGATGAAGCTTTGATTATAAAATTTTATTAGAGCAGCTGGTAAGGAAGCTTATAATAAATAAATAGACGATGAACAAAAAAAGACACCTTAATGTATATATGCACTTTGTGTGTATGTTGCGCATGGATTCTATTGTTAGCACAACTTGTGGAATATGACATGGTGAATTACTATTGCATGGAAAGTTTTAGAACTGAGCTCTTCACTTCATTTTGCCTTCTTCTCAAACTTTGACCTTCTCCCTTCCATCTCTTTATCTCTCGCTGTCTGTCTCTCTTGCCCCCGTCCTTCTTTAGTCTCACTGAATGGGTCTGGAAAAACCAGTGTTAGTGTGGACACTTTCTGTCGAAGCCACAGCACACTAAAAAGCTCTCAGGGCAGAACCAAAGACCTTGACTGCTTTTTGAAGCAGGCTGTCGCTGTATAATCCGTTAGCTTCTCGGAGGAGGGGGCAACGCTCGCACACCCACACACACAGCGTAAGAGGCAGGCAGCCCCTCATTACCGGGCAGAGCCCTGCTCCCTGAGGACTGGACCCAGCACCTAATCCTGTATTTGTTCTTGGGGACTGTATCTGTGATTCTCCATTGAATGGAATATTAAGCACCCAGGTCTTTTGTGGAGCGTGTAAGCCATTTGGCTCCACTCATCTATTATTTATCAGCCTGGCAAATATTTTATCAGCCTTAGCCTCTCATGACCCACTCTTATGTGAAGTCCCCCCCCCCCCTCTAAATGAAGAAGAAGAAAAAAAATAAGGGGTAGGATTTTCTTTTCCTTTTTTCAATGTATCCAGTTTTTACTTTTTGCCTCATTTGTTGAAAAACCTGGACAAGGACACAGGGATTTTGTGTTAATCTGAATTAGAGAGGCAAATATGTGAACTATTCCCGTGGCGTTCCTTCCAAGTCACCTTATCTAAATCGCGCTGCTACTTCCATCACTTTGGAGATAACAAATGAAAGAAAACTGAAATCTAGATTCGCCTTATAAATCATAATCTTCGTTTCGGACTCCCTTCTCGGTCAGCTCCCCCAAGCACAGCCACCCAGCCTGAGAAAAAGAGGCAGAGACTCCCGTTTTCACTTTCAACCTGAGAGTAAATCATGCCAGTTGGGGGGCTCACCTTGAGGCCTGGTAGAAATAATTGGAGTTGGTTAGCGAGGTGTTCTGTGCCATTACCTCCTGGTACCGGCGAATGGCTGGGGCTTGTCTCACACTCCCAGAGGAGGAATACACTAGCCTGTTGGCTCTTCTCTTTTTCTGTGTGTGTATGCGTGCACGTGCCACACGTGCACGGGAGTGTATGTAGATGTGCGGATGGGTGACCTCTCTTATAAGAATTTAATGGCTCCTTACCCTGGCAGCGTCAGAAAAGGAATTGAGGGGGTGATCGTTTTTGATAGTGGCTTTTGCACCGAGTGCTCCTCTATTCCTCATTAATATTCACAGCATTGATTTATTTTCAGAATTAACAAAAAAAACAAACTGTTTGGCGGGGAATTAATCCTGACAGGAGCGTGGCATTGTTGTTGCATTTGAAGACAGCGGGAAGCAGAAATATGCATATTCAGATACACAGAGCAAGACACCAATTAAATGTTGATTAAGTCCTAAGTATTGTGGGACTGTGTGTATGAGAGACGAGAGGGGGGAAAAAAACATCACCACTCTCTATTTAATGGCTATTATGAAAAATGAATACAGTTAAAGGCAAACGTGCACGGAAGAAGGCACGTGGTCAGAAAAGCGCATGAACACTTTTTTTTTTGTTGTGAGCTTTCAGATTTCCAGGCTTGATGTGAGGGCAGAATGCAGAAGGGTGGGACTCTCTCTCTCCTCCTCTTGCCGCGGTTGTTTTCAGCCACCATCTCGCCCGCTTTTGGCCGGTCAATTGTGACACTGTGTGTGTCAGCGAGCAGGGGGTCTCCTGGTAGTTGTGCGTGTGTGATAGTGTGTGTCCGCTTCACACATTTACTGTGAAGCTGCAGCAGTATAACAGCGGCTGCTGCTCCGGGGTCCCGGCGGTATTGGCCTAGCCCGCAGTCTCTCTTGGCTAACTCATGTTTCATTCTTTGGCAATTTGCCCTAATGAAGTCCCGCAGGAGCCCCTCAGACCTCTGTTCTCTTTCCATATTTAATCATGTTATTTTAATCTGGGGGATGAGCTAACGCCTCTGTCTCCCGCTGCGTCTGTGTGTCTGTGTGTGTGCTGCAGGTCATTACTATAGCTGGCTTTTCATGAGATTGTATGTCAAGAGGGGGATGCTGGCGTTAAAACAATGGTAGACAATGACTTTAATTCTGTCTGTTATATTGTTTTGACAGTGTTTGGAGTGCCTTTGAAAAGCAATGTCATCCTCACGTGGTTGCTTCTCATTTGTTTAAAAAGAGGTTAATTATTCCATATTTTCCCTTTAATTTTTCAGTGGGAGTGTTTGGGGTAATTTTGATATTTATGGCTACTGGCAGCACTCTTTTGGCCTTGTTTTACTGCTTTTTGTGCAGGTCAAAGCATAATGCCCACTTATTGACTCTGATTTAGAAGGCATTTGACAAAAGCACTTTGCATTTGCCTAATTTATTTTGTTCAAAACCATTTGCAGCATGTTTGACATGTTTTTTATGATATAATGTCTCATGTTATAGATATTATACATTTGCCATGATGAAAAGTGACAAATAAATCAATATAGTAGAGAGCATTTGATACATGTTCACTGTGAGTAATGCAAGCCCCGACTTTCTTTGAGTCAGTCTTTCTGTGGACTATGGTGCCTGTGCCATGAGGGTCAAGTTGGGCTTTTATCAGCTGGCTGATCTTCTGTTGTCCTCCTCCTTCTGCCAAAGCCAACAAGTCATATTTCCCTGACAACACACTTGACATGTTAATGTAACATTAACATGTCAGGCCCCTCCCAGGGATATTTTAGAACTTTAGAAGCGTCTCTGACATTAAACAAACACGACATGTACTTGTTAAAGCAAAGCATCACCATTAATGTGTTTACTTTTTCTCCAGAGAAGGCACTGTCTGAACGTTTTGATTTGTTTGTGTTTAGTCTTTAATCATCTACATTTATTAAGGTAAGAAAAGGTTTGGCTGGGAAAAAATTCCTTCGGCCTGGAGGTGGTCCTTGAGTGAGAAATCAGACAAACTTTGGCCATGGAGGAGTGTTTTTCTGTACTTTGTTGAGCTCAGTTTTCAGTTTTATCTTAAAAAAAGTTGTGTTGAGTTTGCAACGTCTTCTTTCTCTGTCTCTGTAGTTAACTGCATGTGTCCATGGTGCAGCAGCTTTGCTCTACCCTATGTACTGGCAGCACATCTTCATCCCTGTGCTGCCCCCGCATCTTCTGGACTACTGCTGGTAAGGCTGATCGCACACGTATGAACACAGCTCTCATCACAGGGAGATGCTTCCACGCAACCTTTTCCCTTCTGCCCCAGTGTCTTCTTTTTACACGCACACGGCTGCCATACAGACATGTAAACACATCGTGGCATGTGCGTCCATTATGCCTCCAGCTCAGCCCCTAAAGCCCGGGCGTAAAAGTGCAGCTACACATGTTCACACGTTCTCCAACTCCCTCTTGTTGTTTTGCGTACTCTCGTGGCGTTCCCTCTCTTCTGTGGCTCCTCAACATAATGAACGATCCGGATCACCTTGCTCTATATTTCATGCCAGTTGCTAGCACCACACTCTCATCATCTCGGCTCTCTCAGGGATTCATTACCACCCGTCCAAAAAAAGAAATCCAACAAATCCAAACGGACTTGATTGAAAGTGAATAGAGGGCAGGCGTTAAAGCTCACCTACAAATCTGCACACATTCTGGTCAACTTCTGATGGTTGTGCGTGTTTAATGTGCTTGTAGGGATGTCAGATTAGGAGGAAGGAACCGTTTTCTTGTTGAATCCGATAGATCACACAGTACAGTATTTTACCATGAGGGGCACATCAGCTTAAAAATGCTGTCTATCACTGACAGCCAAATGTGATTTTCAACACTCTGTGAAGACTCATCATTATCTTATTCAATAACACGGGTGTCCTCCGAGCACCAATTAGATAACGGGATTACATTAGAAGCTCCACATGCTTCACTGTGTGCGCACAGTACATCTGAGTTTCAAAAAGTCAGTACTGTACATTCGTAGAACAGTACAGCAGCTACAGTGCGCAGCCACAGGCCTGCTGTTTGTTTTTTCTGCTTCTGTAAATTCATTACAAGCCCGCAAGGTTTCAAGTAGCTTCTGAATGATCCTGACCAGAAATGTACTGTCCCAAAACTATTCAATTTTACTGCCTCGGTAAAACTGATTATAAGAACTGTTTTTCATTAGTCAACCATTTTTGATGAGTGTGTCATTGTTACTTGCAGGTAAATGCAAAATTTTTATGCCCCTAACTTCTAAAACAAAAAATACAATGAAACTCTCTAAGGTCTTTTTAAATTTAAACTGAATGCTACAGTTCTGCTGGGATTCCAGGAAACGGCCCCAGCCTTTTCACTATTTCTGAATCTACTTTCTAGGTCTAAAAGGTTTGATTTTCAAGAAGAGAAAAAGGAAAAGGAAAAGAAGCTTCCAGATTTCCAAAAATGATTTATTGTACCCTCGAATTATGGTCAAATGTTTAGTTTTATTACTATGTAACTGCAGTGTCCGTATTCTCAGCAATAGTGATTGTATGTCAGTAGCACTACTTCCTGTGTCTCTTAGGTCTTTCTTTTACATCGTATTTAAACGTATTTTTTTGCCACAAATTGCTAATCTTACAGGTCCAAAAACTTTCGTTTAAAAATGGCTTTGCCATTTAAGATATTTTATTACATGACATCAATGTCATGGATAATTTTTATATTGTATCTAATGTAGATTTGTTGCTTTACTATAGTGTTAAAATAATTTCTTGATCTTTCATGTGCAAAATTAGCTTTTAATTTAATTTTTCTTTTGAATAATCAATTCTTTATTAGTGTAATGACCAGTTTGTACTTTTTCCACTCACAGTGCCCCCATGCCATATTTTGTGGGAGTTCATCTTAGCCTGCTCGAGGTATGTATATCCATTTCAAATGCAGGTAAATGTATAATTGTGCTTTGTGGCCATTATGATCCATAGTTTTGTAGACTGGTGGACAGAAGTTGTCTGGTTTTCTAATTTTGACTCAGATCTCATATTTCTGCATCTTTTTGTCATGTAAGGTGAAAACATTCGCACCAAACGGTCCACTCCCACACAGGAAGCTGTAATGTGTTTTATGCTTCCAGTTTTTATTCTTCACTCGATACAGACGGTCAGTTAATGCAGTGCTCGCATTTAGTCACACAGACAAAAAAGGTGAAACGTCAGTGGGGCTGGAAAGCTGCGCCCTTTCATTCCCTTCCCAACTCCCTTTATTTTTTGTGCACATTCTGAGGCAGAAGTACAAAAGACACAGAGAAAAAGCCCCGAAAAAGCATCTGCAAACAAAGAGCTTTTCTACTTCATTGTTAAGCCTCGTGTTGGTTGGGGGGCAGGCCATCATCAGCATTGCTGTGTTGTGCGCGCGTTTGAATGCATGACGCAAGTACACACACGTTTGCACTCGTGTGCAAGTGTGAGTACGTGAGCGTACGTGTGTGTGTGTGTGTGTGTGCGCGCGAGTGTGTGTCTGTAATTGCGCAAGCACATATAATGCAATGCACATGTGTGTTTGTGTGCATGAGTGTTTGTGATAGTTGTCTGACAGTTGCGGCAGTGGCAGTATTTATCACACTCTGCATCCGTGACAGACCTTCTTTCCGCCGCTACATAATTAGTCCAGATCAGCATGTGAGCCTCCGCTGCACAGGCTGTCACAAAAGTGACAAACTAGAAATTCACACACTATGCTGCCTCTCTCTCTCCCCCCCCCCTACACACACACACACACACCTGCCTGCATCCTCCTGCACCACGCTAAAATAATTGTTGAATTTGTCGCCATCAGGATGCGCGCAGCGCGGCATCACCGTGTTGTTGTTGATGCATGAGGTTTTGGTTCTGTGGAAAATGTTTGCACACTCCAAATGTTCCCGTTCCCGTGCCATTCTTCATTTTCAGAGCATGTGTCTTCGTGTGTTACACTAAAGATGCTCTATTATTTTATTTTTTATTCTTCATCCTTAATCATAGAGGGCTGTGATAGCTGCGTGGTTGGAAATGTGACTGCTGGGTTTTTGCTCGTTCCTGAGTCTTCAGGGCAGAGATGACTTTTTCCTATAGGAAAACATACCTGTGCCAACTATGGATTCATATCTTAACTTCAAGTCATAATTTATTACAAATGAATTAATATAATTTCCCTGTCTTTATAGAAATATTTCAATTATACAGGATTAGAATCCAGTATTATATCAATTAAATTTTCTGTTTCTGATGGCAAATGTGGTTGTTTTAAAAACATTTTTTCCCTGTGTTTTACCTTTGTTTTATATACTTTTAATTTTTTTGATTCTCTCTTTATGTACTGATTCTAAAGATAACACTGTACATTTCTTTTTGTAGCGAGTACGCAGTCGATCACTGGAGGATGTCGTTATTCTGAACGTGGACACCAACACGCTGGAGAGCCCCTTTGATGACCTGCATAACCTGCCCAGTGACGTGGTGAGACACACTCCCATAAACACACTCCAGCCTTCCACAGTACGTGCCTCACTTGCCTGAGAACTTCCTCGGTTTCCTTTCGGTGCAATGCTCGCATTGCGGCCTCAGTACGCGCACAGTGACACCGAAACACACACACACACACACGCACACATCCAGAAACTTGTCAAAGTATAGTTCTTGTCCCCTCCCCACATCATTAATGACTGCAGCTCTGGCTCCTCAGATTGTGGCTGTCTAAAGTAAACTCCCGTCGCGTCTCACGACGCTTAAAGGCAAACAGCATTCCCCGACCATCAGAGGCTTGTGGGAAAATGTGAAACTCCCTGCCCTTCATCTCCATCCATTCTAATCATTATTTCACAAAGTCTTGCGTTTCTGCCTGCCCACTGGCACGTTTCTGAGAGCGAGACATAGGAGGAGGGAACAAGGCAGAGAAAAGAAAAGAAAAAGGCAGAGATGGGTGATTTTGTGGGGGGAGATAGTAGGAAGAAAGGGGCCAATTACCAGTGTGGGCAGTGAAGCCACCTGCCAGCGCATCATCTCTTTAATTAATGGAGCACCGACGCTGGTCAGTGCTACTGGTAGCATCACCATGGTGTCGGGGTCACTCACACATTTACCCACATTCGCACCAACACCTTCGCAACCATAAAGAAACAACACACATGCTTGTCTCCACTCCCCCCCCCCCCCCCCCCCCCCCCCCC